GTCGCATCCATTCGAAAACACGTTGATTCTAGATCCGCCACGACGGATCAGGTAGTGACACATCACCAACGCAATGATTTGATCTAGGCGATCCGGGGGAAAGGGGGCCTCCGCATGCACAAAAGCCTCCGCGCCTCAGAACCTAAAGGCCAGACTTTGAGGATAAGGCTCGCCAGCATCAGACCATGCCCTCAAGGAGGGAACTATTGGGGCACGGTTATGAGTCATGGAGGCTCCAAGGATCGCATTGGTGCTAAGAACTAACGATTAACCATGTTCTATGAGCATTGTGTAGGGAAAGAAGGATGGAACCTCAGCTTGGTCGGACACCCTAAGCAAAGGTTCAGAAACTACGGGGAAGGCGCCTAGATGCAGCTAAAGCGAAGGCTCGGACTCCCTGAGCGAAGGTTCGAAAACTATGGCTAAGGCGCCCAGATGCAGCCGAAGGCGAAGGCTCAGGCGATACCTGTGAAGGCTACATGAGTCAGCACGAAGGTCCAGACGAAGGTCATCTTGGGCAAAGGTTCTAGAAGCCGAGGGACTTCCTGCAGGGCGGCGGTGCCGGGCCATGGGCCGTAGCCCATCAAGCAAAGGCGGTCGAAGAAGAAGGCACCCAAAGTACCCATAGCGGTTTGTATTAGAATAGGAATATTCCAATAATGTACAGTAAACGACAAGGGGTATAATTGTAAAGAGTAGCCTTAGTAAACAGTGTCCTATAAAAGGAGAACTCACTCTATACAAAGGGTGGTGGTTGAATACATTTATGAAACACTAATTAGGCTTGGGCCCACTTTCCATCTTTCACGCCTTCGCCCAGGGCACTTGGCCAGGCGAAGGCCTTCGCTAGTCCTTTCTAGTCCCACCTGCTGGAAATCCCTTTTTCCAACACTCTGCTCTTACAGGGTCGTGCATCCTGAGACGCTCGGCTACCTCCCTCCCTCGCAACTATTGTGGACTGTGCTATTACTATTCGCATATTTCAAAGCATGCTATTATAATTCATCATCTACTTGAGATATGACAACCTATACATTTGGGATTCTGGTTAACTCGGTTTGACTCACTCTTGGGCTACCGCATTTTTGCACAGACAAAAATACCCCTATACTCTCTTCTTCCTCCATTCACTGACGCATGACGCACAAGTTCCAAGTGACACTGCCATGGGCCCACTATCACACTTATCTGCACCGCGCAATCTCTCTTCTCTCTCTCGAAAGATTTGGGCCATGGAGGCTGCCGTTCCCTAGACGGTTGTCCCCCACCCTCCACGCCCATGTGAAAGGTCCTTGTTGGTTTTGGTAATTGAGTGACAACCTAGGTGGACTAATTGTGTTTATGTGAGATACACAGGTGATTAGTCCACAGGTACATGTGTATGAGCAACATATGCCATGGAGGTGAAAATGGCTTAGAGATGTTGCAGTGATGATGAAGGAGCTTAACACATGAGACATGACATTGAGGAGCTCAAGGTGGAGAATGATCAACAAGACATTGACTTGGCTGTGATCAAGGTGGAGAAGATCAAGACAAGACTTGGCTTGATGGACCAAGCGTGAAGGGCAAGTCGAAGGCTTTGAGTGATGGACCGCGTGGCGTGAAGCTTGAGCAAGACTTGGCGCCCGATGGACGGCGGCAATGGTGAAGGCAAAGTGAAGTCAAGATCGATGAACCAAGATGATCATGTGATGATATGAAGTGGATCATATCATTGTTGATCGTGTTGGTGCATGTGTTGCATCGACATTGAAGAAGATGGAATGGAATGCAAAAGGCAAAGGTATAACCTAGGACATTTCATTTCACCGGTCATAGGTGTGTAGAGAAGTTTATGACCGGGTTTAGGATAGATGGCCGCACTATCAAGAGGGACAAACTTGTTTGCATATCGGTCATCTAGTGCCACTCGAGTGATCTAACTTTGCATTGTCGCTAGGATCGAGTGGCATGGCAAGTTGAGTGGCTAACATCCTTTGGGAATGATTGTGAAAATGCTACACACATACACATGGTGGTGTACACTTGGTGGTGTTGGCACATTTACAAAGGAGGTTGTGTTTGCGAGGGTGAGATGGGTTTGGGTCTCTCTCTCCTCCCGCCGAGCTTGCGGAGGCGGGATTCGGCGCTTCGGGAAATAGAATGCCTATTTTCTATTGCGCGCGGATGCAAGTTCTTGTGGTTAGCACATTGGAGCAAGGGTGATGAAGTTAGAAGTGAAAACGAAAGTTAGTCGCGAAGATGTCAAAGCGCCGATCAACCGACCGGACGCCGGATCTGAATGCACCGACGCGGCATGTCATAAATCCGGTCAGTCGTCATCTGATCGATGACGAGAGCCGGAGGTGACCGACCCGGGCTGCGTCCGATCAAGTGTGACCGGACGCGTCCGGTCGAGGTCGGTACTATCGGAAATGACCGGACGCCGGGGGGTTCAGCGTCCGGGCTTCAAGCTTTTGCGTCCGGTTAGGTCAAGTGACCGTTGGAATTAGGACACGTGGCGTCTGCGCATGGCGACGGACGCCGAGGTCCAGCGTTCGATCAACACCACCGAGGCGTCCGGTCGGCCCGACCGCTGCCCTAACGCTAGTTTAGCCCTTGGGGCTGTAAATAGAAGTGGCCCTCGGCCATGGCTGGTGCTGAGCACCTCAAGGGACTTAGTGTCCATGCTTGTGAGTGCTTGGGAGTCCTCCATCACACATATACTTGATAGTGATCATTCGATTGTGTGAGTGAGCGATTCTAGTGCGATTGCATCGTGAGGTTGCATCGAGTGGCACTAGGTGATCGAGTTGCAAGCCGGTGGTGCTTGTTACTCTTGGAGGTTGCCACCTCCTAGACGGCTTGGTGGTGGTCTCCGTCGAAGCCCGCAAGAAGCTTGTGCGGCGCTCCGGAGAAGTGCTTGTGAGGGGTACTTGTGCTCGCCCCACGGGAGCCGCGAAGAGCAACTCTAGTAAAGCGTGTCATTGAGCTACCCTCATTCAAGGGGTAGGTTCTTGCGGCGCCCGACGTGCGGGCTTAGCGGGTGATGCTAATTAGCCGCCGAACCACCAAGTGAGCGGTCGACACAACGGGGACTAGCGTGTTGGCAAACACGTGAACCTCGGGAGAAAAATCATCGTGTCAACCTTGTTCTTCCCGTTGGTTTGCATCCCCATTACACAAGCTTGCAATTACTTATATATATATATCTTAAGCTTGTGTAGTTGCTCTTGTAATTAGATAGCTTGTGTAGCTAGCTAATTACCTTCTTGCTTGTGTAGCATAGAAGTAGCTTCCTTGCGTGGCTAATTTGGTTTTAGTAACCTTGTTAGTCACATTGCTTAGTTTGTGTAGCTAAGTATTTGCGCTCTCTAATTTGGCGTTGGTTGCCTTGTTATTGAGCATTGCTAGTGAGCTTAGTTAGCTTTGTGTTTTTGCTTACTAGCATGTGTAGGAGCTCCCTTGTTACTTAAAGTACTAGTGACATAGGTTTGTGTGACCTTGCTCCTAGAATTGTTTAGGAGAGCTCTAGCTAGCCCGGCACCTTAGTTGCTTTATTAGTATCTTTGCAAGGTGCTAGTGAACATATATAGAGGGGTGTAGTCTTGGCTAGACTGATTGTTTTAATTCCGCATTTATATCGGTTAGCCGACGCGATTAATTTTAGAAAAGACTATTCACCCCCCTCTAGTCCGCCATCTCGACCTTACACCATGGTCCTTGGTGCTGCTACTTCTTGCCCCTCGTGGACTCAGCCACACTGCTGCCCCTGCCCCCTAGACCCAACAACAGTGTTGCCTCTATCCTATGAGGACTTAGCCTTGTTGCCGCCCCAGAGCTCATGCCACGCTGGCAGCCCCTCCTCCTCGCTGCATCGAGGCTCACACTGTGCCTCCTCCTCCCCATGTTGGGCTAGTGGCCTTGAGCCACATGCGCTCCTCCTAAGCTGCGTCTTGGCCCAACCCCACTCATGCTAGTGGTTATGCTCCATCTCACCCCCTCCAAAGCTTCGTTCCTCCCCTCCAACATTGGCTCCACCTTCCTCTTTTAGAGCTGGCTCCGACGCTCTCACCCAATCCAATGCTAGCTACGCCCTCATAGGCCCTACTCTCCTCCTATGCTGGTGGCCGTGCTCCGCCCTCCTCCATGTGTTGGCATCCGTGGCGCCGCACCCTTGGCCTAGTGCTAGTGGACCACAAGCCGCCCCTCGGAATCCTCTGGCGCTACACTCCTCATCTCATCTCGTCCTTGCTTGGAAATGGAAGAGAGCTCCATGAGCATGCGCCGCCATCGGGCGGTGCGGACGAGCACAGGGTGTGACGTGTGGCCTTGGAGGTAGCAAGCTTGAGCACAGCTGTGGCAAGAGGAGGGGAGGGAGGGGGAGGCAGGCAACGCGAGTTTGCATGGTGGCAGAGGACGGAGGAGAAGACAGATTGAGGAGGGATGGGATGACCATGGAGAACAGGGCAATTTAGTTCATACGGAAATACTAACGCCTGCAGATGGGCTCTAGGGGTCATCAAGTGTATAAACTGGCAAGTTTCAAGTACTCAGGAAATTGCAATAGCATGTTTCTAATATCAAGAATAGTAATGGTAGTTCTCAAATCTGCGATAGTCGTAATGGCACCAATCCAATTAACTAGTGTTAAAAGCCTAAAACGCCTAGCTCTAAAACGAACAGAGGACCTTGTATGCATGATGTATGAATTTTGGTTGCCTGAGATTAAGGAGGCGTGATGTTGAACAGATAAAAAAAACACTTTATCTTAAAGAAACAAGGTAGATTACAAATGGACATATACATAGGAGTATGATTATCTCACATTCTCACCCATTTTCATGAAAGCTTACAACGATTAACTCGTGCTGTTTATAGCACTGCAAAAACCATCAGAGCTGCAAATAATGTAAAATCGTCACAACCAATTACTTTGCAAATCAAAGCACAGCAGCGAATTGCCAAGCCCCATGCAAGCCATGTCTAGCCCGATCCTGAAAGGCGCGTGAGTAGAATCACTCTGCCTTGGTGACGGTGACGCCGCCGAACCACCTCGAGCAGGTGTAGACGGAGCAGAAGGCCTGCAGCGTGGTGAGCAGCAGCATCATGATGGCGGCGAGGAAGGTGAGCAGCTGCCACGAGCTGAACACGTACTTGCGCATGAACCGCTTCGTCTTCACCCGCCACCGCGAGTTGTAGTAGCGGTTCACCTCCTCGATCGTCCTGTCCATGAACGCCACCTTGGTGAGCCGCACCGACCGCGTCATCCCGTTCCACAGCTTCGCCACCTCGCCGTCGCTCTTCATCCGGTTCAGCACCACCCCGCGCCGCCGCAGCAGCGCCACGTCCTCGTCGGTGTCGATGATGCCGTTCATCAGCTCCGTGTACCGCGCCAGCACCAGCGGGCCCGACGCCGCCGACGCCTCGTAGGCGACCAGGTTCCGGAGCACCACCTCCGTGTTGGAGTCGAGGGTCACCACGGGCAGCTGGAAGGTCGCCGTCTTGGCGTCGAACGCGATGGTGGACAGGTCGCCGGAGGTCGGGAGAAACTTGACCCCGGCGTTGATCAGCTCGGACACCGAGGGGATCATGATCTCCTCGATCAGCGGCGGCCGGGTTAGGTACCCAGCGGCGGATGAGCTCGCGTCGCGGTGATCGTTGCTCCCGTCGCCTGACATGAAGGACCCCAAGCCCGGCACGACGGCGAGCATCTTCCATGGCGCCTTGATGGCAAACTCGATCGGCTTCGTCACGTAGCGCATGGGCCCGGCCGTGTTGAGGCCCGACACGATGCCCCACACGGCGTGGAACAGCTGCTTCATGTACTCGCAGCTGACCGCCGGCTTCTGCTCCTCCGCGCCGCCGCCGTCCGCGGCCTGCTCCTCAATGTCGTAGCCCTCGTCGCGGAAGGTCCCGTTGGCGCCGTCGGCCTCCTCCGTGGCGTCATCTGCCGGCTTCGGCTGGAGAATGTAGTAGAGCACCTCCAGCAGGTGCGCGTGCTTGCCGACGTCGACCGCCGGGAAGTTGTCCATCATCTTGAACGGGCAGAGCTCCTTCGTGAGCCCGGTGACCATCCGCGCGAGCGTCTCGCCGGCCTCGTCGACCGACGGGTGCTGCGGCTCCAGGATCTTGCGGAGCAGGAAGAGCGGGACCTGGTTCTCGAGCATGAGCATGTCGCGGAGGATGAGGTTGTGCGCGGACTTCCTCCCGGTGAAGTCAACGAGGTGCGCCATCCTCGACGACACCCTCCTCAGCGCCCTGCCGCCGTCTCCCTCGTCGTCGGCGATGGCGACGGCGTAAATCTGCAAGAACTCGAGCAGGAACGCGCCGTCGACGACCATCATCCACGCCAGCGTCTCGCCGTTGAAGTCGAGGTACCGGTGGTAGTAGGCGCGGATCTTTCGCTCGAGGCGCGCGAACTGCTGGACGAGGCCGTCGAGCTTGAGCCCGGCGCAGAGCCGCTTCTGCGCGCGGCGCGCCGAGGCGAGCTTGTAGCGCTCCATCTCGTACAGCTCGGGACGCCAGTGGTGGTAGGGGCCGAGCGCGATGAACTGAGGGGTGTAGGCCTCCGGCTTGTGCACCCGCAGCTGCTTGGGCACGTTGAAAACGGACACCGGGATGCCGTTGTCATCGTCGTCGTCGCCGGCGGCGGCGTCGTCGTCCTGGAGAGAGTGACGGATCTGGACCACCCACCGTACCTCGTCGAACACCAGCGGCGTCCCGTGGCGGCTACCAGCTTGTTGATCCGACGAGGCCATTGTTAGTCCTCCGTTTGTGTGTGCTTTCTCTCACGGTTGGTTGCAACTAGAAAGGAAAATCACTCCAACTAACCAGAAAAACGATGGTACTAGCTGTGATTTACACATACATTGATTGTTAAGTGTGGTGGAGCCACTGGAGACAGGGGCAAGAACGGTGACAGCGAAGAAGAAAGAAGGGAATTGCAAAACAGAGAAATACTCTTTCTATCCGTGAATAAATAGATTTGTACTAGTAAGTTTAGGATAGATTAGTATGATAGAGAAAAGATCATACTAACCTTCATTAATTGGAGTAGTTGCATACTTATTCGAGTTGCACAGTAATTATAGTATTTACTATACCAATCTAACTGCAGAAACCTAAGTTTGGATTGGTGGAAAAGAGAGAGAAGGAAGGGTACAGTAAATATGGGGGACTTCAAGAAAAATAAATGGATCAGTGCACCGTTCAATCTCCTACAGATTGATGTATTTGTGATATTTTGTTTTGTGCTAGGCCGTGTTTTGGTATAGCATAAAATCTTACATTATACAAGTATTATAAAAGTTTCATGAATAAATTTAGTAAACTGATTATCTTTACCATTTTCTATTTATTTAATAACATAGCACTCATTTCGATACACTATAATTTGTTTCAGATTGTGATAAATTTGCCAAATACTCTAGATGGGTAATCATAATTTTTATTTGCGTTTTTAATATTCATTTAGTTGAAACCTTAGCTTAAATTATAGTGGTTCCTGCATCCTTTCTAAAACCAATAATCTATATTTTGGCTCATAATTTTTTTTATCTTATTAGTTGTTACAGTTTATTTGTCCACATGTTAAGTTTGAACTCTAGTGTTATTGTGTCTTTTATTCAGAATTTCTTTTTATATTTTATGAAAAAAATGAATTCTAGGTCCAAAGCTCCACTCTTGATAATTACAATTATAGATAGTTGTTTCATCTTGCACTACACTAGTCAAGATGTTGAATTTATTTGTTGTATTGAAGAATTATATGCACAATATTATTGTTTAATAGAAACATATAGTGCTTAAAACTAAATTAACAGTATTGATATGATCTAATGTAGTACTCCCTCCGCTCTAAATTGCAAGTAGTTTTAGATTAGTTCTAATTCAACCTTGTCTTACTTTGACCAAGTTTATAAAACATATTAAATCTACAATATCAAATAAATGCACTATAAAAATACATTTCAAGGTGTATTTAATGAATGATGTTATAGATGTTTATGTATTTTTCTTAAAAATTGGTTAAAACTAGAGAAACTTAACTTAAGACAACCCTAAAAACAATCTACAATTTAGATTGATGGATAACAACTTACAAATATTTCCTTGGAGTATTAAAATAGTTTAAAGTAAACAGCCACTGTGTACATGGGTTTGTCAAAATATCTTTCCACAATTGATAGACTATTAAAATAATTGTTTCAAAAAACACTATTAAAATAATTATTTATTTTTATGTATCTATATTTATTTGGTCCACATGGTGGCATACAATATTTTTAATTTAATCGTGATAGAAGTGTGCAGTTTAGAAACACGTATAGCGTATCTTTTATTATCGAAATATTCTCCCTAATGGATTGTATTGGTATTTAGACCAAATTTGAGGTATATTTTAGTTTATTTATTATAACAACAGAGTTGGGTAATCTAGATATAATTAAACTAGTATTTTAATATTTTTTTTTATAATTGCATAGGTGGGTAATTTAGATGCAAATTTTGGTCATTTTTAATTATCTTTCATAATGGCAAGTGGAGGTAATTTAGATCCAAATTTGGGATGTTACTTTATATATTTTTGTAATGGTAAAGATGGATAGTTTTTAGAAAATATAATAGCTCCAATGGCTATTATTGGTGATAATAATTATAATAATCTATCAAATAAAAGCATAGATGTTTATGAATTTTATGAGTATTTATATAATCTATTTTTTCCTAGTGTGTCTCATAAGGAGTAACTGTTTGAATCCTTCTAATAGAAAGATTGAATTAATAAAGTTGAGTTGGTGGCATGGTCCTTTCAGTTTTGACATGTCCAGATTCAGCTTATTTTTCAGAAGTCTCGTTGCGTGCCCATTCGTAGTGATCATCACCATGCCCCAGCTTCCATTTTATTTTTGCCCACATGCTTCTTCTGCAATGGGATGCAATCAAAGAGCTGCAGAAGTGGACCTGCTGCCCAGCTTGGCCTTTCACTTTGCTGTCTCTCTGAGTCTCAGTCCTGTTTCCTGTGTCCTGCAACTGGAGTAGTACCTGCCGAAAGCAAAACAGGAAAATAATCATGAGAAGCATACTTCACTGATTTATAGTTTTGTAGTAGCTTCCAACATTACTCCATCTATCAAAAAAAAAAGAAAAGATTGCAACTGTAGGTTGCGTGCTAGTTAAAGTGGTCTACGTTTGAGCAAATTTCTAGTGAATGACATTAATATTTATGTCTCCAAATCAAGTTATTATGAAAATATATTTTGTAATTAATCTAATGATATTTATTTGATACTGTGCAAAATGAATTGGTCAAATTTAAAATAATAAAACATGACACTGTGTTAGAATTGCATTCTTTCCAATATGGAGGTACACAAACCAAAACTAGCTGATAAGAACCCTTCAAGTTTGCCAACAATCTCTGATTGAACTCCATAATAAAGCCCTATTCATACGACATGGCACATACATTAGAGGGTGGAAACCAGATCGAGTGACCAAATGGTTGATTTGCCTGTCAAGAATCCACATTATTCGTTGGCGTTTGAAAGTGTTTATAACCAAAATGCCAGACATACGACATGGCACATACATTACACGCTGGAAACCAGATCGAGTGACCAAATGGTACGGGGCGATCGCCTCATCAAGGGAATGATGACAGTGACATCCACATTATCCACACATGCACCAGACTGGAAAGAACACTGATCTGGGTCGTGGACCGATAGCCACCACGGATCATCAGACGCTGAAGAATCTTTGCACGGACCCATCCGGGCAGTATAAAATTCAGATTCGTGAAACATGCTGGCAGCTGAGCTAGCACGATGATGAAGATTGAAGACGAGCCGTCATTTTCGCGTCTCGGAGAAGATCACTGAAATCGTAGAAATTCCGCAGACTGTGTATGCATGCTTCGTTTTCATTTCAGAAGATAATAAGCCCATGGATTTGTCAAAAAAAAAGGCACTGCACACCAACATACACTCTCCTCTTTTCTCTTCACTCCACCCTCTAAACAACGCTGATTACACAGCTTAAAGCCTCCTCTCCTCCCCTCCCCCCCCCCCCACACACACACATGCTAGGCTTCGCCCCACCGCACGCACGCAAAACTCTCATCGGTTGAGATGCAAATAGCCATGGACGGATTGTCATTGACGGATTTGGGCTTTAAAATAATTGGATGGGACATTATTTCGAATTGGATTCGGATTGCATGTTGGATTTTTTCCCAAGAATTTTAGTTGGACTTCTCCATTTGGATTTAGATTCTAATCCATTTCCACCACTAATCCCGTGTCATCCTAGACTTGGTGTTCGGGGACGAGAAGACCCCATTCTTGGTAGAGAAGTTTTGTAGTGCACAATACCTTGGTTTCATGGAGAGTCGGATGATAAATGGTCAATCCAAATGGCTTGCAACACTTGTCTTGGTTGGCGGGTAACTTCTATGGAAACCAGCAAGGGTGGGTGGTAAGACTTGGTAACCCAGAGTGGTAAGGCTTGGTAACCGTGAACATATCCTTTGTAGATTTCCAACATAAACTAGAGGTTACGCTTTGAAAACCGATACCACATGACTGATTTCTGCCTCTCAAGAGTTTGCACCTCTTACTTTAGATCTTTACTTACCGCATTTGCATTTCTGCACATGCTTTGATTGTGTGGATTTACCTTTTTCTAGAGTAGCTTAGACTACTAGATAGGATTGGCTATACTTCGCAAAAATATATTGGGTTAAGGGTAAGTAGAGAACACTAGATATACCTAAGTGCAATATTGCTAGTTAGCTTGTTTAAGGTTATCTAGTGTAGGTTCATGTTTGGGCCTAGGACGAAAAGTTTTCGTGACCTAATTCACCCATCCCTTTCTTGGGGTCACACTTTGAATATTGAGAAGCATCCTAAATTCTCTACAATTTCTTTGAATAAATTTATACATTTTAATTGAAACATCATGACATATCTTTATTGCTATGTAATTGTAAGCACTCTATTTTTTTATAAAGCAATAATACTACACATAATTCTTTGACAAGAACATTCATCATTTTCAACAGTAAATGCAAGCCGGTGGCTATGATCTCCTTGATCTTTTAGATTTCTTTAGAATAAATATCCTTATTTTTAATAAAATTTAAAAAGACTTTTGACTAAGAAGCACAATAGGCACAAGGGTTTAAACTTAATTTGGAAAACAAATCAAAATTTTAAAATTAAAATCTAAATTTATGATGCCATGCGATATGTCTATAACAAGATACATGATAACTTAAGCCGAGGTTTCAAATAAATGCATATGGAAGGTACATGGAGGTGCCACACAAATGGAGAAAAACTATGGATGTGGATGAAAGCATATAATGAGTAATTGATAATTTTATCAAAACTAGATAATGATTCCATAGTATCTATATATGTGTATCGTGTTAGAAAATGAAAAAGAAAAAAAGTGCATAGGTAAGTATTTTTATTAGCTGTAGATATTAAGCATAAGAGGCTCTTGCATTCTTACCCTTATTTTGGGTCTAATTATAATTTTACCCTTATTTTTTTAACTTTGTGATTTTGCTCTTGCTTTTCCAAAACAAAGACAGAGTTTACCTTTATTTCGTTCAGTTCAGACGAGTTAACAATGTCAGTTCATCTAATAAAAACTAGTTTTCCCATGTAAATTTGCTCCTAGCTTTTGAGTACTCTATGATAACCTCTATTTCGACATCAAATATTTGGACAACATTTTGAAAGAGTTA